GTTTTCTTCTCATGAAGTAATCTCGCGTTTATCATGTGTACTATTAATTTAGAGCAATCAAAGTGTGGAAAATGTTTTCCACACCATTTATTCCCGATTTGTTTCCGCTGGAGTCAAAATCACCATACTTATTCAAAAAACATCACCTGCTTCTTGAGAGGAGCTAATTCCTCGGGTTTTGAACGCGTCGATTTATACTGCTCGGTGTGGAATAGCACTGGAAGGGGCATAATATAATGACGCTCATGGAACCGATCACACAAGATCTACTACACATTTGGTTGCAAGAATTGCACCAGATGTTCCAGACGTCAATCAAGAGGATGGTAAATGGTATTCCAGAAATCTACTTTCCGCCAAATGTTGATAATACCCGGAAATCTCCGAATTACCTTTAAAGATGTTGGAAGAGACACGTTAACACGTATTAGCTCGTAAATCTTCCACGGTTTTCTTCTCACGAGGACCTCGTGTTTATCATATGTAAGATTTAGAGCTTACTTAGATTTACCTTCACGAGATTTACTTTCACAAAGAAAAATTAATGCTAAAAACTAAGAATTTATAGTTGTCTTTTGGGGGCGGGTAACTGCAAATGTTTCTCACAATGCGACCGTTGAGAGCGCATCGGATGGCCGCACAGGTTGTTTTTTTTTCAATCCAAATCCAGGAGCCGGCTTGAGTTTTTGATCTTATCTAATTTGTACCCGACACTTGAGCCTGCTCAAGTTCAATGCTAGGTGATTATGCAGATGAATTCAGGAGATCAATATGCGTGCACATTTTTGCGACGGCGATGTGGTTGTTGGAAGAATATCAGACAAGGAGGTCGCGATCATCTTATATGAACCGAACACATCTTAAATTTGTCGACACAAGGTTCAGTACCTTTGACGGCTACCTGGAGAGCGGGGACAATGCAAAATTTCATGAATACACACGTTTCACCATTGAGGAGTTTCAATCACTGCTTAGTAGATTGTATACTCGGCTCTCTCATGAGCAGTTCCACAGGCATCCAATTATGGTGAAGCATCGATTGGCCATCTGCCTGAGGTTGGAACTTTAATAATGAACAACTTTTGGACAAGTAATCTCTCACAGATATTTGGGTCATGGCCGAACATATCGGGCATGTGGCCATGAATTCAAAATTGGAAAGACTACTGCGACAGAAATCGTTTACGAAGTATGTCGGGCCATCAATGAAGGTACTTTAATAATTTTGAACATTTTTGAAGAATCTTATTGAGATATATTGAAGAGTTTCGAGAAGAAGCGCTACCGACCCCCACGCGTGGTACCTGGGCCGAAAGTGCCGCAGGATTCGAAAATTTCTGGAGGTACCCACGTGGGGTGGGTGCTATTGACGGTAAACATTTTCGCTGCGTGGTATGTGTTTATGTTGTAGTCTCATATTACTATTATCACCAAAACCACTTAGGCTCCTATAAACAGTGGAAGTAGTTACTATAACTACAAAGGCTCATTCTCGATAGTCTTAATGATTGTAGCGGATAGCCGTTACAGAATCATGGTCATGGATTGCGGTGGTAAAGGCCGCCATTCTGATTCCGGTATGTACACCCAAACAATTACACTTCCCTTTATACGAAACATATATTTCAATTTCTTCCTTACATGCAGGACTATTTCGAACGTCGCCGATAAAAAGGTTTCTTGAACAAGCAAGACAGTCTTTCCCCCCGGCTGCACCCCTGGACGGCAACGGAGTAGTGGACTACCACATCCTTGCCGATGGGGGATTCCCCCAATTCACATGGATGCAAAGGCCATTTCAAAGAAGAGAGGCTTTTGAAGATGTTAGGAAGGGGCACTTTAACACATGCTTTAGCTCGTA